CCTTCCAGAAAGGAGAGCGGCCAGAATGCCAGAACCCAAACAGTCAACCCAGCCCTTGAGACCTGAGGACTTTGGGAAGCAGAGCCTTGCAGGTGGCTCCCAAAACACCCCTGCTGGCAGCAGAAGGCCAAATTGCTGAAGCTAAGACAATGATTTATTTCTAACTGCTACAAGGAGGTATCATGCAGGCTTTCAGAAAAGTATCATAGCTTTCTTTGTTGTCTTTGACTTTCTGGTTTACACTTTCTGTGATCAGTAAGAACAGTCTCAAAGTGAGCAATCAGAAATTTGTCCTGGTAGATTAACTGTCAAGCAAGCAGCAAAATAAAGCCAGATAAAAAATGCAGAAACTAAAACATAAAGAATGAGTTGAGATATCAAGAGAAATGGCACTGGACTACTGGTCGTCCTCACCCTCATATGAAACTTTCAAAGATAATTAAAGTAAAACATCCACCCAGAATAATTTACATTATTGGCTGCAGACAGATAAAAGAATAGAAAGGAACAGATAATTTAGGGTTCTGTTTAGAGTCATTCAAAGATCAATTGAGCAATAGACAAAGGTCAAGTTAGTTGCAAAAGCTTAATTTTATTTTAGCTATAAGGGGGAGACTTTTAGTAGGCTACGTATATTGCTTTAAATTCAAATCATTGGTGAGGAGTTGCTAAAGTTGCCTGATTTCTTAGTTTGTTTATATCAACATTCAGCTGCTATGCAATGTATTAATACACGAAGATCTAGTAAGCTATTAAACAGATCTAATGTTCAGGGTGACTCCTAAATTATCTTAAAAATAGTTAATATAATGGGTTATATTTGAAACCTTTCATTTTAGGCTGCAAAATCTATCCAGACAGTCTTACAAGGTTCCATGCTTAGAGAGACTGCTGCGAAGAAAGCCCATTTAAGGAGGAGGCCAAACTGAATGAACAACTAAATGCAGCCCCATGGGACAGAGATGAAAGGAAAGGTCCTAGCTCTCTTGTACCATCAAAATAAGGTCTAAGATGGTTTATAGGGGTGAGAAATCTTGGAATGGTTTCACTGCACCCCTTATTAATTGTGGACAAAAACGGCAAATGAACATGTTAAGAAGGTGATGACATTTATGAAAACAAATTATTTGAAAGCCAAGGCCAACAGGGAGCCTCCAGAGCAGCACACCCAGTTATCAGGTTGCAGAACACAATCAACATCAGTTCCCATGGGTTCACTTCCATGCTGAAATCATGCCTCCTCCTCTATCTCAGGATACTGTATTTCCTACAGGGACTCTTTCCTGTAACCACCCAGACGCATGAGCTTGTGCTAAGATAACTTTTAAAATTAAATACTATATATTGAAAGCTGATTTCTTTTAAGTTTACTACAACTAATTTAAAAAATCAAATGGACATAAATTCCTCACAGAGCAATGGCTATTCTCAGTAGAAAATAGATAACATTAATAAAGTAACATCGTTTTACTAGAAATAAAATAATGTTAATAAATGGCATGGGTGTGTTTCATTGCAGTTAGGTTTAATCATGTTTTCTGACTGTAATAAAGAAGCACCTGAGTCCACATAGAAGGCATGACTGAGTTTTCATCATTGCCCTAAAGTATCGGGTCTGTACCTCCATGATATTCAAGTCACTTTCAGGTTAAAACCATCCCAGAGTATTTGGTGCAGATTTACATGTTAACTAGTTCCTCCGAGAGAGGCTATGTGAGCAGTCTTAAAGAATATGCCATCTGGTGCAGTATGACTTCCCGGTAACAGTTTATCTAAATGTCATCATTTTGTTTTCCCCACACATGCCTTAATCACCTTCTTCAGGAATAAATTGGCTCTCTTGTCAAACTTGCTTTTCCATGGCTTCTACACAATGCAGCTCTAAATGCTTATTACCCTTTACAGGATGCACTCCTGAGGTCTTTCCTTATTTCTTGGCTTCCATATTTGATGTAATCTCCTGTAAAGCCTTTGAGATAAAGTCTCAGTCAGTGTAAGAGAAAAGGAAGCAGACACCTACAAATGCTGAATGGTGACCCAAGCAGAACTCAGAGGTGCCCAACGTGGAAGGCTGCTCTTCTAGCACAAAGTAAAACTTCAGAAAGATGGCTTGGGGAAGCCTTTCCAGAACATGCTCATAGAATCCTAGCAACTAGGAAAAGAGGAGTCACTGTGAGTAGGTTGAATCTTTAGATAAAAAGCTTTGAATTTATCACCCTGCATTCCACAAACAAACCACAGCATATGCCTTCTCTACTGTTTCTCACCTTCGTCATTAGAACACCTGTTCTATGGATCGAGCAAGACACCAGGGAGTGACATCTCCCTCTTCCTCATAAAGCCCCCACCACCACCACATCTAGTAGTCACCAAATCCTGTACATCAAGCCTTCTACATATCTATTACCCTCCCAATTCCCTATCACCATTCTAAATGTTACCATTGTAGTGAACTCCCTGCATCTGATGGCTCCTTCCTACAATCCATTCTGCACACTGCAGAAGGGGTAGCTCATAAAATTCCCATCAATACATGCCAGTGACTGTGGAATGGACACTAGCCAGATACAGCATTTCCAGTCCTTCAGCTGCTGCAAACTTTCTTAAACTACCTTCCTTTCAACATGCAGCTCCCTCTGCCCTGGAACAGCCTTCCCCTCTGCCATCGTAGGCCATTTCCCTTCCGCAGGTATCCAGAGAATGGTCCTCCTTTGTAAGGCCTTCCCTGAAGTCCTCTGCTTACCACCACCCTGCTCTGAGCTCCAGATCCTTCTCTATTTTTCCTTTCATAGCCTCCCACTGTGTCTTTGCAACTACCCATCTTCTTTGGCAGAAGGGAAGTTCTGAGAGCTTTTATGGCTATGTTTATCTTCCCCATCGCTGTATTCTCAGTCCCATTTAAAGAGTAAATGCTTAAAAACATAGGATGAAGAAACAGTGAATGTACAACTAGAGACAAATTTACAATGAGGCAAACCCTGAGGATGCTTACCAGAGCTCTGCAGATCCAACAGTGAAAATGGCAGGCACGATAAATCAGTGCCTCAAAAAGAGAAGGGAGGTTTCATCATCTGCAAACACTGAGCAGTTCCGGCCAGGCAGAGGGTCTGGGTGGGTGCAAGGTGGCACCGTCTACTACTCACCAGGACAGCATCACTACAAGGGGAAGGAAGGTGACCATAGGGGCTGAAGACAGGAGGAACAGGATGAGAGGAGGAACTTGGAAAGGTCACTTTTACATTTCTTCTATGGCCTGCTGAGTACCCATTGCCTGACACTTAGTAGGCATCCAACATTAAATTACTGAATGAGTGGATATTGGTTCTACACCCTCAGAGCCCCTGCAATGCCACATTATTAGACTATCCACATGTACCCAAAGTTTATCCTTGTAATACTCTAAACTCTGTAAGAAGTCCCAGAATTTCATCTTAAAGTTTGGTTTTTGAGTTAGACCATTGGCAAATCAGCTGATCCCACTAGATAGTTTTTCTCCAAACCATTCATTCATTAATTCAAGAAACACGTTTTGAGAACCTAACATATGCCACCCCCTCTTCTAGGAATTGGGGAGACATTACTGAACAACACAAGGTGCTTCTAATCATGGACCTTACTGAAGAAGACAAAACACAAAAAAATGTATAAACTAGAAAGAACATTATTTCAAGTAATAGGAGGAAAAAAGAAACTAAATGCAGGGAAAGAAGTGACAAATTTTATATGGGGATAGAATATCTAGGGAAGGACTCTCTGCTGAGGCAACCTCCAAGGGGCCACAAAGGTGGAAAAATTAATTCCAGGAAATCTGGAAAGAGCATTAAATGAAAAAGCATTATGATTGAAAGCCATGCCATTTTACCTCCCATAGCATCTGGCACAACATCCAGCCCGGAAGTCTCACCCATTCACTCATTCAATCTTCTGTTCATTTGCAGTCTCATTCATTCCTTCTACACAGGGTCAGGGAGAATGTGCAGCACACTGAGCACTGTGTTAGACGGTAATAATACGGCAAATGCTGATTGCTTTACTGGGAGAATTAGTGTGTATTTGAACGCACTAAAATCTCCAGTATTTGGTAGACTTTGGCGTACAAATGGCAACTTCATGTAATTCATAGATGTTGCTTTATTTCTAGATTAGTAAGCACAAACTATTGAGAAGTAAATAACACATTTTGGAAACTTGATTTTTCAAGTTCTTTGTAAGTACTCTTTTAAATATCATTATAAAAGATATTTTACATTGTACTTTTAGTTGCAAAGGAGTTTTATAAATGGGTTATAGCAAACTTTTTAAGAAACTATTTGTTAACCTTATTCCAGTTACAGAAACAAATAAAATTGCATTTTCTTAAAACATTACATTTCTAATCCTTCTCCCGATTCAATGCAAGTTTAGAAAATTTTGGTATGTATCACAAATCCCTTCATTTACCTCCCAATTAGAATTTCAACCTAAGGCTATCTTTCTAATTTCTCAATAGAGAAATGTTTTAAAATATAATTTCAGATGATTCAAGGAACAGCCTTAAACAAGTTTGGAGCATATTTTGGGGGACAACTATTTGACACACAAATTGCCACCATCAACTGATTCATGGTCCATTTGGTCTGCCAAGCCAGTTCCAAAAGATACAAGAGAAGCCATTGTTGCTTTAGGCCATTCAGATTTTATTCTGTATCTGTGGCCATGACTATCACATATTATGTTTCCTGATATCTATCTTAAGAGAAATTTTCTAAATTTTCCAATAGTTATTAATGGCTCTTTAATTCATATACTCATCCAAACTCTTATGGAATTCATTTACAAGGAATACTTATAATATATTATTTAACTCTTGAAGTGATGAAATATATTTACAACAGCGCTATATCGTCCTTCTACAGCTTGTCAAAAGCACATTGCATTCAAGAGATCACGTGATGTTGTAATATGAAGTTCCTCTTATCTGTTACTCATTTTGATATAGAATTGGAAAATGTCCTGTTCCCAGTTTACACTCTCTTAATTTAAAGATATATAGTCTTTTTACAACAGAGCCTAATGTTTTCATGTGGCTAATTCGGAAGGTAATTCCAAGGGTGAAAACTATCTCAAGTGGTAATTATTTGGTCGGTATCATTTCATGCTACTCTGAATCCAAGGAAAAGACTCTGATATCCCGGAGACAGCAATCCTGACTAAAGACCCTGAGATCATTTAGCTCTCTCAGAAGACCTCTCCAACCTGAAATACTGTAGTCTGATTTGTGCAGAACCTGTGTACCAGGTATAAGCTAAAAACAAAGTTAACATTCTGCAACATGGTGACCACGCTAACAACTTATTTTATACTTTAAAATTGCATTGAGAGTAGATTTTAAGTGCTCTCAACGTGAAAAAAAAAAGATAAGTAAATAATGTAATACATATGTTAATTAGCTAGATTTAGTCATTCCACAAGATTTGCATATATCCAAACAGCATGTTGAACACTATAAATATATATAATTTCTATTTGTCAATTAAAAATAAATTAAATAATAAAAAAACTGAATTCCTGTTAATAACTAGAAAACAATTTGAGGGCAAGTTATGATAAATAATAGCATGTGACACTAAGACAGACAACACTATCCTGACAAAATGAGATTCTTCATCTTCTTTACACAGACATCTTGTTCTCTTTTAACCAGAGACAAAAGAAGAAAAGTCTTGGAAACATCCTTCACAGTTTGGGGATGAATGAAGGCAGAGAAGTATTCATCAGTCTTATTTATGTTCCTGGCAATGAAAGTTAAAGTCAAAACTGTGGCTTCTCGAAAAGAGAGGAGCTGACATAGCCTTAGCTCCACCTCCCTTGTCTCAAAGCATGAGAGGAGAACTGATTATTCTCAACCTTACCCACAAATACATCAGCGTGCAAAATATTTACTTTTCTATGACTTTAGCAACAATCAAAATACCTTCATAATTTTGCATTTCCTTTGTATTACATATAACATTCTATTTTACTGTGTGTTTCATACACCTAACCCTTAGACCCTCCTAAGCCCTCTGAATGGGAAGCAAAATATATATCGTTACTTTTCAAATGGAGAAGCCAGAGCTGAGTGCACAGTAGGGAATTGTCTGAAGTGATGCGGGTAGAAAGTGGTGAATCCAAAAGCTGAAGTGCTGGTCTTCTAATACATATCCAGTGTTATTTTCCTTTCTTTCTTTTTTTCTCTTTTTTTAAGATCAGATGTTGATAGTAACTGAGCAATCTCTTAATGCACATGGAGTGGTTTTAAAAGTCAACATTCATGTTCAATTCTGCCGTGCTGTGTCGAGTATTCTGGAAAGATCTCAAGAAGAGCCTGAGCCCATGCCAGCAGAGGCTCTGTTATGCATCCTGCTTTTCCTTTTAAGGCATTTTAAATTAAAGGAAGCCTTAGACACCATTTCTTTCTGTCCCAGTGACAACCAAATCCTTTCAATGAAAGGACCAATTTGGTTTAGCTGCAGATTATTTTTATCTGTTCTTGAAAGTCACATAAATGTGACCTGAACAAATACGCTCCCCTGAATGTTATTCCTGAATTTCAAAGTTTTTCAGTAATTAAGCATTTTTCCTAGAGTGTTGCAAACCAAATAGAGTTCCATGCCAAAGCAAGAAACGCATTAATGAAAACAAAGAATAAAAGGAAGCCAAATCCAAGTTGTAAAAATGTTCTGCCTTACTTTGCCTGAAATGAGATGCAAATAAATAAATAAAATACACACACACACACACACACACACACACACACACACACACACACATATGCAAGCTGAGTACTAGAGTAAGTATAACATGTTGGTGTAAATTGTCCTACTAAATTTTTTCAGGAAAATAAATATCCCATTTCAAGACATGTTTTTTAAAAAGAATCACAGTCACATGGATTAAAAGTGTATCTTGGTAAATTTAGGGATATTAATAACTCATTCTGATAATAGGATTAAACCAAAAAACTTTACTATCTACAGAGTGAAAAAGTAATAATCTAACAGAGAATCCTATCACTGGATTTCACTCAAGAAGGCATCAAATCCTCTAGACTCCATCAGACATTTTTTAAAAGGAAAAACATTTTTTCTTTTCAGGATGTCTTTGAAGTTTTCATTAAATCAAAAATGTACACAGCTTATGGAGTGGTTCTCCAGAAAACTTTAGCCACGTGGAACACATGTCTGTGTTTTGGGGAAAGATAGAGGGAAAACAAAGGAAAGGTTCAGAAGAAAGCAATCATAATGACCTCAACAAAATTTACAACCAGTGATTGTTTGATACTGTAGCGGCTGCAGCTCCTCACACAAAACAGATGGTACGACACAGAGCTATGTCTTAAATGCCAAGAAACTAAAGATTCACTGATTCCATCTACTTCTGAAGCTTTTCCAAACAGTCTATGCCCCAGAGTCGACTTCAGAATATTTTTACATTTTAATTCTTCCCTTATTTGAATTACTATAGCTATTATAGCTTCATATAGGCTCATTATACATTTAAACATTAATTTTCTAATACTCTTAGGTCAAAAGCTCACTAGTGACATAGTGGAGTGAAACATTAGTTTCCTACATAACAAATTACCACTGTAACAAATTCCCATAAAATGGGTGCCTTAAAACAACTCACATTTATTCTCTTGCATTTCTGGAGGTAAGAAATCTAAAATGGGTTTCCCTGGGACAAATCCAAGACCTCATCGAGGCCCTGCTCCCTCTGGAGGCTCTAGAGGAGAATCTGTTTCCTTCTTCACCTTTTCCAGCTGCTAGAGCTGCTTGTCTCCCTGCTCTGGGGCATCCGTTTCTTCTGCAAGGCCAGCAGCCCGGCATCCGCAGTTCTGTCTCTGCGTCATCCTCACATCACCTTCTCCTCTCTATGTGCAGCAAGGTCTTCCTCTGCTCCCTCTTATAAGGACCCTAATGATCACATTTAAGACCCACATGGATAATCCGGAATAATCTCTCACCTCAAGACCTAACTTAATCACATCTGCTTCGTTCCTTTTGCCATATCAGGTAACATTCACAACTTCCAGGGATTAAAACAGGACATTTTTGGAGGTCACTATCATGCCCTCCACAGCAGCAGAGGTTAACCTCTTAATGTCAATCATTTTGAACTACAGTCGTCCCTCAGTATACCTGAAGGATTGGTTCCAAGGCCCTTCCTCATACCAAAATCCATGGATGCTCAAGTCTCTGATATATAATAGCGTGGTACTCCAGATAACCTATGCATATCCTCCCATGTACTTTAAATCATCTCTAGATTACTTACAATACCTAATGCAATACAAATGCTAAGTAAATAGCTGTTATATTGTTTAGGAAATGATGATAAGAAAGAAGTCTGCACATGTTCAGTACAGATAGAACCATCCTTTTTTCCCCTAATATATTACATCCACAGGTAGCTGAATCCATAGATGTGGAACCCACAGATATGGAGGGTCAACTGTTACTTCATAACCACCTTGCAAACGAAAATGTGCTTGCCAAGATTCCTTCAAAAAGATCATTTTAAAAAAGAGTTTTAATTAGCATAGATTCCACTCAAACTTAATCCTCAACTGCACGCATCACTAGCCTTGTGGATTAAAAAAATACAGGGTGGGATCCTGCAATTCTCTCATTCTGCCAACAGAGCTACTAAAAGGTTTAAAGTCATATTCCTCAAAATGTGTTTCTCACACACACAAATCACATTTTTATAATCACATTTTTATAAATATTTTTATATTTAATATGCTAAACTACATGATAGCCTAGTCTAGCCTGTTCTAAGCATGCTCTAAACACTCTTATGAGCCTAGGGTTGTGAAAATCATCTGGCAGCTCAGTCCACTGTAGAGTACTGGTAATTTACCCTTATGATCGAGTGGCTGACGGAGCTGTGACTGATGGCCACTACCCAGCATGGTAAGAGACTGTCCACCATATATCACTAGCCTGAGAGAAGATCAAAATCCAAAATTTAAAGTGCAGCTCCTACTGAATGTATATCGTATTAGTACCATCATGAAGTCAAAAACTGTAAGTCCAACCATCTAAATGCAGGGACCATCTCTAGTTCGTCATGCAACTGAACCTTAGAAACTCCTTTAAAAGTTAATAAAGGGCAGCTTATGTGACATTAAGAAACTTTCATTGAGAACCTTGAAATAAGTGTGAAAATGCAGGCCTACTACATTTATGGTAATAGAGGGCTTGGCAAAGAACTCCAGAGTACACGCAATGTTCCCAATTAATTTTAGACCCCCTAAGAATGGCACAAACAGAAGAGCTTGCAGCTGCTAACAAATGACAGATATGTTCTATCACACCACGGCCAGTCCAAAGGGTAATGCGGCTAACCTGATAGTCCCCAGAAATAGCAGCTGTCAGGAAGGTGCTGCTACATGTCAGATCCAGCTCCTTAAGAGCAATTGATAAGAAAGAGAGGAAGAAGTAAACAGCTACATGTCAGTATAAAATCTGAAATTCACCTAATCATGGGATTTTAATTTCTTAACCTCCCCAAAAAATAGTATGCTAAGAACCCCACTGTGTTCCCTGGAGCCAAGGTGGAGACTCACAGGACAGCTCACTTCTCCATCAGCTGCCACCCAGGTAGCACCTTGTAGATGAAAGTGGCACAGGGACACTTTTCTCTTATGAAATCATTTGCTCATATCTTAATATAGTTATTTGACATTTGTGAAATCAATACAAAAACAATCTCTTTTTATTTAACCAAACATAGCCCAAGTACCATGCATTTAATTCAATTTAATTGAACAAATTTACTGAAGCCCTACAGTGTATAAAGCACTGTGCAAGGCACTACTGAATCCACTGTGAACCCTGCCTTTACAGAGGTACACAGACATGCACACACATATCCACAGACACACTCACATCAGATACATGCATACCTCTGCACACATATATACCACAGGCACAGATATGCAAACACCATGCAACACATAAATACAGACATAGACACACACACCACACACACACTTGCTACCCATGAAGAGCAGGAGTTTGGTCCATAACATGGAGAACTGGGAGCCCTACACATGGCAGGAATTTTGTAGCACCCTTGCTTGGAAGCAACACTTAGAATCTCTAGTAAAAGAGACTCCTCTTATTTACCATTTCCACAGTCTCTTCCAGCGAGCTACTCACAGACTCAGTTGTATAGGTTATAGTCCCCACTGGACAAATTGTTAAAATCTAGAAAGCTGTCTTCACTTTGGTATGAACAAGAGAATCCTTTATCATCCCACCCAAGGGAACCAGTGTGAAGAGACACGATGGTTTGTGTGGAGAAAGGGACCCACCATTTACAAGGAGTGAGCCATTTCCTAAGACATTGCTTTATCAAAGCGTCCTGGAACCCCAGAAGATAGAGAAGTATCAAGCTGCATCTGTGTGGAAGAAGTCTGACTCCTATTCCTATGCTACTGGAAGAGCAATAAGTCTGAAAAGCAGTGACTACAGGTCATCTTGGAGTCATACAGGAGCAGCATCTTCTGGGACCCAAGGGAAGTACCGAGAGGGATTTAGAAACCAGGGATCTGTGGTCCTCCATACTTAAAAAACATGTTCAGTATTTACATCCTATCCCAATGGTAGCAAAATAATACCACTGAGCTGAAAAGAATCTCTACATTCTACCCATTCTGGTATTCTCACATGGGCTTCTTCAAAAGTATAGGAGACTGTCAGTGTGAACACAGCACACTTCATGACTATCACATCAATTCCGGAGTATTTACTTTCTTCTCGGTGACATTAACACAGGCACATCCATGTCAAGGAGGTACAATCTGTTCTTTTTAAAATAAAACATGTCCAGTCCAGGGTGAGTGGGAGCAAGCCCACCTTGTGGCCACCACTCAACTACCAAGACCCCAACAGAGTAATCAATTCTGTGAAGCCTACGGGGAATGCCACATTATTTCTAAATAAGGGACCATTGATTAAGTTTAAATTGTATTTGGCTTGTTTAGTAAATGTCTATGCAGAAGGAAAGGGAATTGACTCCAAGGATTTCAGTTGCTCTAAAAGTATGTGTGGCATCAATCCTGGTTTTTCTAAGTGAGGACCCAGGACCTGTGGGATCAGTATCATCTGGAAACAGAAATACAGACTCTCAGGTGCCAGCCTAGAACCCCTGGACCACATCTGCATTTCCACAGAATCCCCAGGTCTTCTCAACCTTTATGTGGGAGAAGCAGTGGAATAAATACCAAAAATGCAAACAAGATCAAAAAAGTTACCTGTTGTAGTTCACGTTTTCAAACTATTTACTAAAATTGATTTCTGTAATTAATGAAGCTAGTGATGATTTGGAATCCCTTGACTAACAGAAGGGTTTTAATGTAAAAAACCTATAAAATTTATAAAGATTATTTTCCTAGCTCGTTATGAAGAAAATAATGTCACGAAAGCATCTAAGGGCTGCACCTTACCAATGAGCGGACTCCCTCCAATCCGCTTTCTTGCAATCATAGTGATTCAATTTCCAGACTTAGAAAGAAAAAAGAAACACAGAAAACTAACATAGAGGAAGGTTCTACCTTCTGGTCGTGCTTTATGGTAGCAACAGGTGAAAAAGGCCAAGAGAGGCAACGATTTGACTCATCATATTAAAAGAAACATTTGCTGTCTCTTCCAAAAGCATAAGCAGTAACTATGGAAACCAGACAAAAACGTTGAAAATGACTTGCAATTTAAAAAGAGCAGAACAATTCTATTTCACCCACGAAAAAAAAAATTAACTCTGAGCAAATCCACAGAAATCTTTCCCAGGAATAGCTGGATCTACAGAAGACATAATGTGAGTGCTTTGTTCAGGCACCATCATAAATTGTTTGACTTGCTTTGGAATTGTTAAATTATGTTTTTACAAATGGGTTATTTAGCTGTGTCTCCATTTAAATCTGTAATTTTATGTATCCTGATGATAAAATGGGCCCTTAGCTGAGCCAGCCAGTTCCTCAGGTAAAAGGCATATTCTTTCGGCAGTAAATTAACTTTGGACGGTCAGTAGGTGAACTCTCGCCAATTTTAGAGATTTAAGAAAGGCATATATTGTCTAAAATACTTAATTTACATCTAAGGAAGATGAATGAATGATCTCAAAAATTCCAGCTATTATCTGTTTACTAAATTGGTACCCTGGATATCCTATTTAAAGGCTGATATAAACATACACGTTATTTATGGAGAGAAAAAAAAGCAGGATATTTTCACCCAATGATGCCAACCTACTCACTGCCCAGAGATTTCCATCCATTTCCACGGCCATACGCTGCTTCTCTGTGTGTTCTCTCATTTTTCTGTTTACTGTTCCTCTGCCGCTTTCAGACTGATGTTACTTCCTTTTCAGATGAGCTTGTGCACTGCTTGATGCTTCATGGAACCCCATAAGGGGAAAATGACCACTTTATTTTACAAAAACAGAGGAGATGCTGACTTACAACAGAAGGGAGTAAAGAACTTTCTTAAAAATATGAATCTCAATGATACTTTTATAGCCTGGAATGACATGTTTATCTTTCACCTATTTTTTTTCATTCCATGCAAGAGGAGAAAATATTTTTTTAAGCTTGATAAGCAAAGACTCATCTGGGGACACCTGCTATTTGAATTACCACTATCAGGGTTAAATTAATAACTCTGGCATATTATAAAGCCACAGATATAATTGTGAGCCCTACTCCTCCCAGCATATTTATAAAGAGTTTTGTTTCATTTTATGTGTTTGTGTTGGGTTTTCTTCCCTTTTCTGTAAAACATGTAGCTGCTAAGCCTCACTCTGTTATTGTACACTGATGGAGTGTGGAAATAAGCACCAGTGTCATTTGTGGAGCCATCCTAGTTGTGCCTTATTTTTAAGTGAGTATCCCACTTGCAACTAAAACCTAAAAAGAATTCTAAAACCTTTTTCCCAATTAAATGTTGGCACTCATAACACATTGTTAATGGATGGACCAAATTTTTTTTTTTAATTCTTAATACTGTTTTCTTCAGATGGCATTAACAGTGAAGTATGTCCCTAAACTTTCCATTGTTCAATGCTGGGTTGGCAAAGCAAGAAAAATCTTTTTATCACCAAAACGCAAAAACCATCTGAACTACTGCTGTGCCCATTCCAGCTTCGTTTTAATTTGGTGCTAATTCTCTAATTTGCTCATTTGTTTTCTCTACCCACATAATTAAGGTTGAAGGAAGTCTTTTACATGCCTGCCACTGAGCCCTCTGTGTCTTAGTAGAAGGAAAAGTTCCTTAGATATGTTTCCAATCACTATGCATGTACTGAAGCCAAGAACTAGAAAAACGTAACTATGAAGTCTTACAAAATCCACACAATTAAGTGCTAAAACCAGCACGGGCCAAAACCACTCTGAGACTCAGTTCAGACCAACATGACCTGTTTTTTCAGGTCTGTATATCGGATCGTGGTCCAGTCCTTTCTCTTACATGATCAGCCTTCCTTCTTCCTTTTGCTGTGATGGTTTGTTTCTCAATGATCGCTGACATATTTCTCTGATTGAAAACCATATTCCTGGACAATGCCTCTGAAACGCTGTCACACACACACAATAACCAAAAGTTTAGACCTGTGTAAAGCAAAGTGAAAAATGGAGTGTCACTGTACAATTCTCAAAATATAAGTTTGAGGGAAAAGCCAAAGAGAGCCAAGCGAGATGGGTTCCTGCCATGGCACCCCAGGAAGGCCCCCCCACCTTGCCTAACAGCAGCCGTTCCCATCCCCAAATTGTAAGTAACCTCAGAGGTACAGAACCATTCTCTTGATGCTGTGACTTTTCCTCCTACAGATCAGTCAGCAGTCCAATTATCCTGAGCACCTACTCCAGGCCAGGCACTGTTGTCAGGACTGGACATACAGTGAAGGAAGCAAAGGCTCCACCCTCATGCCCCCACCCCCTCATGGAGGAGGTAAACCACCAAAACACATGAGTAAACCTAAAGAGGATGCTGGCAAAGACAGCAGGAGCACAGAATAGCGGGGAATGGGGTGGGGAGGCAGTGGCTGAAGTGGAGTGAAAGAAACATGAGCCTCTTGAAGGACAGAACACTGGGGCAGAGTCAGAGGGGCTTGGGGGTGAGGGTGGGTAGGGGGAGGATGGGAGCTTACAGCAGGGGAATGGGAGAACAGGTGCTGCTCAACAGGGCCTGGGCCTATCTGAAGATGTGCGATTGATCTGTTAGTCCATATTTTATACTGTCTCAGCCAGGTGATCCAAGTCAACAGCATCAATAAGTCCTGTCCATAGCACTCACCCTTGATATCATGATGATGGCGCTTTACCTCTGTGTTTCCCTCAAAAAAAATCTTAGTTAGCTCCAGGCCAGTCAGGAGAAAAACTTCATACAGGCCACATTGAGGACATTTGACACACGACCTGATCAGTCCTCCTGAAAACCATCAAGGTCAACCAAAACAAGGAAAGTCTGAGAAACTGTCACAACCAAGAGAAGCCTAAGGAGACAGGACAGATAAATGCAATGGAGGGTCCTGCACAGGATCCTGGCACAGAAAATGGGCATGAGGGGAAAAGCGATGAAGTTAGAATAGCACATGACCTTCAGCGAGTTACGAAGCACCAGTGTCATGCATTAGCTGTAGCCAAGGTGCACACAAGTGCAAGGTGTTAGAAATAGGGGAACCTGGTCACAGCGTGGACAGGAACTCTCCAAACTCACTTAGCAACTGTTCTGTGTATTTAAGACTATTCTAGAATGTTTTTAGGCCAGGCACTGTGGCTCACTCTTGTAATCCCAACACTTTGGGAGGCTGAGGCAGGCGGATCACTTGAAGTCAGGAGTTCAAGACTATCCTGGTCAACATGGCAAAACCCTATTTCTACTAAAAATACAAAAATTAGCTGGGCATCATGGCATATGCCTATAATCCCAGCTGCTCAGGAGGCTGAGGCAGGAGAATCACTTGAACCCGGGAGGCGGAGGTAGCAATGAGCTGAGATCACGCCAACTGCATTTTCGCCTGAGCAACAGAGTAAGATACTGTCTTAAAAAAATATATAAAAATAAAATGTCTTTAAAAGTTTATCTTGCTAAAAAAAATAGGCAAACATTCTCTGTCTAGAAATAATGATTCTAGAATAAAAACTACAAAAAAAAAAAAGGTGGATATGAAACCACTGTACAGGTTAATGAGTCAGGATTTCACACCGCTCGGTCTACTCCTGCTGAGCGTTTATGAAATTTACTGGAGCCCTCACAGCTGGCCATTCCATTTATTTGAAGCTCTGAATAGTTACGTTTTTCCATATTGGTCCCAGTTCTTTCTCCTAGGGCCACACACTACAAGGCAAACCTCCTTTCCTGTCAGCAGTGCCTCAAGCCCTCAGTGAGAGCTTTTCTAATAGGGCACAAGCTTCCTGCAGCCGTGTTCTGTCTGAGCCTCCCTTCATCCCCATGAGCAGTGCCTGGTCTGACTCCATGGAGGTCGCCTAAGCACCTTCCAGGGAGGAGGGGCAGAGGGGACAGCACCTGCTCAGGTCAGGCAGCCTGTCACAGGTCTCCCCAGGATCTTCCCTATCGTTAGGGGACCAGGGTGCCCTTGAGAGGCTCCATCTGTTTTCTGAGGTCTAAGACCTCCCTGGGCTTCAGAACAGGGTCTCAGGCAGCCTCCCTATCACTGAGCCTTCATCTGCATGATTGAACTTAACATCTCTTTCTTCTTCCCTCCTCTCTCACCTCCACAGCCTGACACCATGGTGACATCCACAGATGACTCAAGAAAGGATGTTGACAACTTCCACGTAGAAAGGCAAGATCAGGCTAAATAAATGATCTCATACGTTGGATGCAGGCAGCCAGCACATAGAAAACAGAAGAAATGAGGCAGAGACAAAGAGCGCAATTGCAAATAAAAGGAGGGGTAGGCTGGGCACCGTGGATCACACCTATAATTCCAGCACGTTGGGAGGCCAAAAGGAGGGCAGATCACCTGAGGTTAGCAGTTCAAGATCAGCCTGGCCAACATGGTGAAACCCCATCTCTACTAAAAATACAAAAATTTGCTGGGCATGGTGCTGTACACCACTAATCTCAGCTACTCAGGAGGCTTAGGCAGTAGAATCGCTTGGGAGGTGGGGGTTACAGTGAGCCAAGATTATGCCATTGCACTCCAGCCTGGGCAACAAGAGCAAGGCTCCATCACAAAAAAACAAAAAACAAAAAACCAAGGGATGAAGTGTATGTCTTCTCACTCTCCTAAATGTGTTTAACTCCACACCCTCCATAATGAATGATTTTAACCTGGAAAGTTAAACCAAATCTTTGAGGTCCATCATAACTATGGAACTAGCAATATTTAAAGGAAGTTGAAA